AATTTTCATCTGTCTCATATAGCTCCTTCACATCTTCAAATCCTGGGACTCAAATCTGCATCGAATTGATCAGTAAGTGATGACGGCTCGTGCATCTACTCCTCCGTTCTGGCTCCCACCTTGTGTCTAAGCCCAACTAGAACAACGTTGAGAACTCCACCCAAGAATTGCATTGACCATTTAATTTGGTCTAGCAATTCAAGAATTTCAAAGCCTCATAATTCATGAATAAAGTGAACTCACTCTTCAGTAAGCAGTGACTCCAGTGATTAAGAGCAGTCACAATCGCATAGAATTCCTTGACGTACATCGAATATTTTTTCCATAACTCATTTAACTTTTCACTGAGGAATGCTATGGTGGGCCTACCTAGCTTAATAATGCTCTGATCCCCACATTAGAGGCGTTGCACTCCTTGAACAACTAATTGAGCTCCGATAATGTCAAAACTGCGGCTAGAGTCACCTTTTCCTTCACTGTGTCGAAACAATGGAATTTCTTCCATTTAAAAAGCTTGGTTAAAGGGGCAGTGATGGTACTAAGCTTCTGATGAATCACTTTTAGAAGGATCCTAGCTCAAAATTTATCTCAGCTCATTGAAAGAATTAGGTGTGGTTTAGCTCACAATGACCCTGATCTTTGTAGAAACCATCTGCATGCCTTCACCAGGCACGTCATAACTCAAAAAGCATACATTTGTTTTCAGGAACGTGGCACTTCTCTATATGGGCTTACAGTTTTTTTATCGTAAAATCTCGAAGACCTTCAGATGCTGCAAGTGCTTCTCCTCGAATGTGTTGTATACCAAAATATCATTGAAGTATACTACTACGAACTTCCTGATACAAGTCTGCAACACTTGATTTATCAACCTTATAAACATTATAGGAGCATTAGACATTCTGAAGCGCATGATTGTCCACTTGTGTAATCTGTTGGGTTTTTCACTCGTTCCCTGGCCTTGCCCAGATCGTTGTACATGTTGCATTAGTCGATCTTGAAAAAGACAATGGCTATGTGCAACTAATCCAAAAGATCGTCCATGGGAGGGAACCGATACTTGATACTAATCCGGGCATCCTCTACGATCCATTTTTCTTCGGTACCATCAGGGCAGGGGCAGCATACAGACTGGTTCTTTTTCTGACCATACCTCTCGCGATGAGATCATGTACCTATCGTTGTAACTACTCATACTCTTCAGACCTTGATCTGTAGGCAGGCTGATTGGCAACACTGATCTTGGTATTAGATTTATGGTATGATGAATGTCCCTCAATGGTGGACATTTATCTCGAGGACCATCGAATATCACATACTGAAAGTCACATAGTTGTGGTTGTGTAGATGTCGGTATCTTATTCTCCTCCTCAATTCCCTCTAGTAGAACCAAATGCATTGCCACTGAGCCTAGGATGTGCTTCCAATCTTTTTTAAATGAATAATTATTTTTGAAACTGTTGTGTTGGGTCTTACACTTGACCTGCCATGACCACCCTAACAGATTTTGGCAAACGTCCATAAGGACCACGTTGCATCACACTTGCTCCTATAACTTATCTTTGATTGAAAACACAACCAAGCACTGTTGATCCACATGTATCTCGTTTTCCTTTTTCAACTAGGTAATAGAGTAAGATTGAGGGTGCTTCTAGTTTTTTCACCATCAAAGTGGATACTATATTCTTGCAGCACTCATCGTCGATAATCAACCCGCTTACTTTTACCTTCACCATGCATTTGGTGCGAAAAATATTGTGCCTTAACTATGAATGATCCTTCTTCGACTCCGTCTGTCAGACTCTCTTTGTGACTCGTATCTCTCCCTCATACCCTTGGAGTTGAAGTTCCTTGTATGGATCTTGCTATGCTTCCACTTCCTCTACTTCCTCAATGATGCCCTACTTTGTGAATGAAATAACTTGGCTTTTAGGATAGCTGGAGGCTTTCTCCGTAATTTTGTCATCTGAAACATGTCCCAGCTGGCATCGTACTGGGTGAGCTACCCTTTTCAGGTTTCTGTCTACTCAGATCTCTCTTATCACTTTTCTGTCATGTCTGCTCATTTCCTTCAGGTGTACTCTTACTGGTAGCGCTAGTTGTAGGTTATTGTCTGAAAGAGGGTTGTTGTCTGCTTTATTTCTATTGTATTTTTACGTTCAAAGTTAATGTCTGGACATCTCTTAGGGACCAATAGGTTGTAGTTGTGCAATATTGCTGATAACGGGCTTCAGGTCCCCCATATAGTGTGGTTATGGTATGTTTCTCTGGCTCAATCTCGCACACTTCATCTGCAACTGGTCAAATTGTGCTGTGACCTCCTTCACCGATTGGTTTCTCTGTTGCAATTGATGGAGTCTCAGGAACATATACTAGAGCAATGAGGCGGTAAGTATTTTCTCTGCTCCTCATTTCTTATCTTCTCTCATTTGGTAATCTTGTCACCGCCCTCTCTTTTTTTGTCTCTACAAATTTTCCCACCATGAAGATGCACTCTTTTTCAATTTGATTACCGCAAGTTTTACCAATTTATCCACTGACACTTCTTTGTACTTGAAGATTCTCTCAACTGACTGCATCCATTCGATAAATTGGTGTAGATTCATACCTCCACGGAACTCCGATAGATCCACTTTTATGGCGAAATCTCTGTGTCCTCCATGTGTTGCTACTCTTTGGGCCTCCTTTGATACCAAATTTCGAAATGTCGGGGTTTGTTTTCTTCATCATTAAAGTCTTCTCTATGGAAATGATTCATATCCTCATCCCTTTCTCCCTCAGTGACTTTCTATATCTCGATTAAGGTTAATCTCCCAGGGGTGTCAAAAATTAACCCAACATTGCAAGCCGAGTAGAAAAATCCAGGTTTGGGTTGACCTGGATATTTTTGAATCTGGCTCGAATAAGATAATTTGACCCGTTTATTATTTGGTCGGTTTTGGTTGACCCAATTTAGATCGGGTCATTTTCAGTCGTCGTTCCAAATTGACATCCATAGGCGTCAAAAATTGACCAGACAGGCCAACCCCTACCCGAACCCGACTCGAAAAATCCTTTGAGTCGAATATTTTTTTGAGTCGGGTTCTGGTCAAAGAATTTGACCCGTTTATCATTTGGGTCGGGTTCAGGTCTGACTTGTCGACCTTAATTGAAACCCCAATAATTTCTCTTTGGGTTCCATCATCAATCTCCACTAGACTCGGTTGAAGGCAATGAATCTCTCGTTGTATCTCTTCTCGAATAGGTTACGAATGTCTCTTTGGTGGCGGGATAAGGGATTTGGAATTGGAAGGGGTAGTTGGAGGATATGAAAGAAACTTTTTTGGTGGTGGTTGGTGGTTTTGGGTAAGGTGGATGATGGGAAACACTAGCGTAGGATTAGGGTTATGCTATCTCTAATACCAGTTGATATTTGAGTTAACCCCCTTGCAACAGAACATGAATATTATTGCTGAAAACTCAAAGGGATTACGACAAAGGTTCTTAAAACAGGAACTAAATAACACAACACACAAATGACCCTCTAGGGTGAGCACGGATGTGGCAAGCACCGGTTGAATAGCAGGTGAAATGGCTGGTTGAGGCTAGCAGCAGCTGTAGGTGTTGGAGGGGGTTGTGATAGCAGCAAGAGCTGCTGGAGGGGGTTTCGGTAACTTCAAGGGACAAATTAGGGCTGGCGGCAAAAAGGAAGGGGAGGTACGTAAGTGGGATGGCAACAGCAAGGAAGGGAAGAAGTAAGGTTTTATGTGGAAATAATCACCACTTTGGAGCAGGATATAGTTGGAGCACCACTTATCCCCTGAAACATTCCTAGCAAAGTAGAAAATGTCGACGACAGAAAACTGAAACCAAAAAACTAAACACTAAAACAAGGAATATAATATATATATATATATATATATATATATATACATAGATAGATAGTAGATAAATAGGAGGGGAAGATCCCTCCCCTTGGGCATATATATATATATATTATATATATGGCAGCAGCTCTAACCCCTCCTAAGGCTGGCCGGTCCCCTGCCCAACCTAGCTAAACCGGTCCAGCCTACTTCAGCCGGTTCAGCCCAGGTGAGCTCCGTGAGTCCCGTGTCACTCCTGCTTTCCTTCTATGCGTCCTGTAGAATCCTTTTCTTTCTTAAACCTATTTGAGCTCTTCATCAAGGTAGCAAGCGTTAATATTACTCAAATACTTCCAGGTGCGTCCTGTAAATATGGCTTTTCCTTAATGAAATAAATAAAAAGTAAACTTGCTTCTTAACATTTCTAGCCCTAACATAGAATAAAGAAAAACAAATAAGGAGAAGTAACTGTAGCAATATCAAAAGATAAACTGCTTTATTTAGCCATGATAGTCCTGACTTATGATAAAAGAAAAACAAATTTTGGGAAGTTAGTTGTCCATATTCAATTGCTTTGCAAATTTATGTTATTTATAAATTTTACATTCTTTTAGATACCATATTCTTCTTTGGGCTTTTGCTCATAGTAACACATTAATATATGAAAGATTTAAGAAGTGCATCTGATTAAAACCACATTGGTTCAAACATTCTTTATGCATGTTTTGTGTTTCTTACTTTATACATGTGGATGTTATAAATAATTTTAAAATGAAATGCGTTTATTAGCATCTACCAGGCGTGCAACTATTATGTTAATGATGACACTTTTGACACTTCAGAAAGATTTGCATATATACCACTCAATCTCTTATTTACATATCTAACACCTAAACTTTCACTTTTTACAACACATACCCACCTTACCCTATGCATGAAAAAATATATTTCACTTTCTAAAAATTAAATTTTATATTGGCATTACGTGTTAGATGTGTAAGTACATAAGATTCGGGTGTTATGTATATAAATACCCCTTCGTTTCATGCTATACTTTTTTCTTATATTTGAACATTTTCTATGTTTTCAACCAATATCTTATATTAAAAACAAAATCATACAAACCAAAACTATTTCCCCATTTAATCTATTCAGGGAACGGCCGACGATGTAGTGGACTTCTCTCATGGAAAACAACTTTGGGAACTATGCAAAGAAAAATACGAACCATTATGGCTCGCAGGAGGAAAACATTGCGATTTAGAACTTTTCCCTGAATATATCAGACATTTGAAAAAATTTATATCAACGGTCGAAAAATCACCCTCCCATAAACTCAGCTGCAGAAGAAGCAGCACTGACCACTCCGAACCTGCTAGGAAAAGTTTTGATTTCTGGGAGAAATTTAGAAAAAATTTAATCAAATCTAACGGTAAAGAAAAGCATAAATTTAAATTCTCAGTTGAAGGGATGGAGAAGCATAGGAGAAGTGTGGATTGTATTGAAAGGACGAATAGGAATACTGAAATGGTGGAAAGAGGTAGGAGAAGTGTGGACAGATTGGATAGAATAAGGGCTGGGTAAAGAGGTAGGAGAAGTGTGGACAGATTGGATAGAATACGGGCTGGGTAATTCTTCCTTTTTCTTTTTCTTTTTCTTTCCTTTTAACTGGAATATAGATGAGTCTGTTTGTGCTTGATTTTATAAAGTTTGTTTTACATTATAGTTGTTGTAGACAGAGACAAAGTTTGACAGCATTTAGACTCTGTAATTTGGTTTAGTGAATTCAATATTTAAAGTTGATCTTCTTTATGTTGGTTTTATGAAGGAAGATTAGCATGCAAGCCACTCAATTCCTATGTATTTACATAATCTTACACCTAAAAACTTCAATGTTTTCATCTATGCTGCTTTACCCCTGCAAGAAGATGTGGTGTCTTTATGTGATGTGAAAGATTTGAGGGCTATAGATGTAAAAAAGCAAAGTTTAGGTATCTAGACATGTAAATACATTGGAATTTGGTGGTGTGTAAATGTCCATAAAATCATGATCTTGCAAAATTAATAGTTTAAATTGTATTCTCACTTTCTTTTTAATGATCTTTGCTGTATTTTCTGCTTTATTTATCTTTTATTTTTGGAACATTTACATAAATTCCACAAAATTTTTTGTTTTTACAAATTTAGCACTGATGCTTTAATTTTTATTTTCGTAATGCTCAATTCTTTAACATCACATAAATAATCACTTTTGCTAACTTTTATAAGTCAAATCATATTCGTATGCATGTGTTTATAGGCTGGTATAAATGTAAATATCAAATTTTGGGTGTTGGATATGTAAATTCATAACAAACGTGTGGTGCATATGTAAATTTCCTTTCCTTTCTTATTTTTTCCTATTCTCCTCAAAGATAACACGTCCTACATATGGAGCGATTATTGCATCAGGATAGCGGACGCATCTTTGCGGTCGGAGTCCAGTGAACACTTGTCACATGGCAAATGGGCTCCACTGTAATATAATGGTTGAGTTTTTTAGAGGGGTGGGTCTCACTTGTCACGTGACACACTACTGCTAGACTCGAGACATAATAATTTTTCATACATATGGGGGAAGGAGTAGGCCTTTATATCAACAAAAAAAATACGTGACATTTACATACATACCTCCAAATCCTATGTGTTTACATATCTAACACCAAAACTTTATTTTTTATATTTATATCACCCAAATCATTTTAATTCTTAAAAATTAAAATACATGATTTCATGCATAGATAAAGTGATTGTATGTAAAAATTGAAATTTTGGATATTTGCTATGTAAATTCGTTCGAAATAAGTGGCATGTATGTAAATTTTCCAAAATACAATCATTTTCTTCTCTATATTTGAAATAATTGATGAAAAAAAATAAAGTATGTATAACTTCCAATCTATACTCTTCTGGCAAGATCCAAAATTCATAAACTTATAAAGCAGCAAGTAGGGGAATAAACAATCTGAATTTGATCGAGCTTAGGCTCGTGAATATTATGTTAGATTTAAACTTGTATTGATTTTGTGCCTTTCATTTGGGAAAAATTTCCGTACGTAAGATGTATGAAGAACTGCGTATATAATGGAGGTTATATGCACGTTTTATCTGCATTATATATGTGTTATATTGCCTTTAATCTCGATGTAGCCTTCATATAACCTACTTGAACTTACAAATAAGTTCTGCGCTTCTGTTTTTATATATCTGTAGGTTACATGGAAGTTAGATGAAGGTTACAAGGGATATAACACAAATATAATGCCGATATAACGCGAATATAACCTTCATGATGTACGCAGCGCTGCGTACGTCATACGTACTCAAATTTTTCCCTTTCATATGACCACACAAGTTGTTATGATTTAAACTTAAGAATAACTTTATAAAATATTTTATTATATAAATAATACATGTAATTTATTTATTCCAAGCTAAAATGTCTTATATTTATATAATTTGAGCTTAAAAATTGAGTTGTTGAACAAGCTTTTTGGCAGCGTGGGGATAAGTTGGAAAGTGTTTGGAAAGATACTCTGCATCTGTCCCTCTCAGCAGAATAATTTCTTAATCTCACCGGCTATTGAATAATTCAAACAAAATTAAAATGAGAAGAAATGGTCAGCAGATGACTTGGAACAGCAGGTCAACATACCTATTACAATGAAGTATATAATCTTCATTCTATTTATTTTAAACTATATATATATATATATATATATATATACAGATTTACATAAATGACTAACACTCAATTCTTAGCTATTTGCATATTTACATTTATGACACCTTATCTATGTATGAAAAAGGTAGATTTCCATCTTTTAAAGGCTAAAAATAGTGATATTTTGGACGACATATGAAAGATTTGAATGGTATAAATGTAAAAAAGGAAAAGTTTAGGTGTTACATATGTAAATACATAGAAATTAGGTGGTATGCCCTTTTCTGTACGTTTCTTTTTCGATATGTCTGATTTTGATTCTTGGTTCGCTTTCAAATTTCATTATCTATTGGAGTCAAACAAACAAACAAACGAGACTTTCCTACCTGCTTTGTGTGGAAGATTTACATAAATACCACTCCATTCCTATGTATTTTCAGGTCTGACGCCTAGTTTTAAAAGATTTGGGCGATATTAAGGTAAGAAGTAAATTTAGGTGTTGGGTATGTAAATAAATAAAAATTGGGTTTCGAAATAATCACCACACTTAAGGGCCCATTTGGGGCAGCTTATTTGGTGTGGCGGCGTTTTGAAAACGCACATAGTCGGTTTGTGTAAACTGCGTTTTGACAGCTTATGCGTTTTCAAAAAGCAGAAAATAACGTTTTACACCTCACCTATCTAGGTGCACCGAAAATCAAGTTGGCCGTGACCTGTCTGTTGGAAGGCAGTTTCAGCGTAATTACCCTTTGCCCTGGGTTTGAATCTCAGCTGGGTCGAATTGACACATATGAGGAATTGATATCCGCTCTAAATACCGATTCTTTCATTTTATTTAGGGGACAAGATCGATATTTACAGACCCCGAGTGATTGATCAACCAGATATGGGCTATCTCCCTCGAACCAAAAATTTTTCTCCGGACCATTCTGCCCTTCCCCAGAGATTAAGAGGAAAAATCAAAAAAATAAAAATTTGTAATAGCCACTGCACCTAGCTTATCAGCAGATTATTTTTAATCAGGTTATCAGCGGGTTATACAATAAGCTACAGATGTCTCAAACAGACCCTTAAAATAGGCTTTTTTTTTCATGTGTATGAATAACACACTGAACAATAGCCATTATGGGTTCCGAAAGCTCATATCCGAAAATCAAGTTGGCCGTGACCTGTCTGTTGGAAGGCAGTTTCAGCGTAATTACCCTTTGCCCTGGGTTTGAATCTCAGCTGGGTCGAATTGACACATATGAGGAATTGATATCCGCTCTAAATACCGATTCTTTCATTTTATTTAGGGGGCAAGATCAATATTTAGAGACCCCGAGGGATTGATCAACCAGATATGGGCCATCTCCCTCGAACCAAAAATCTTTTCTCCAGACCATTCTGCCCTTCCCTAGAGATTAAAAGAGGAAAAATAAGGAACATGAGCTTTCCTCTTAAATATAGACTTTTCCTGGGTTGCATGAAATCACGAATAATACAAGATTCTCCGCCCTAAAAGAATTCAATAATAAATTCCTCAAATAAAACTTGAGAGAATTTACACAAATACCACACAATTTCTATATATTTACATCCCCAACATCTAAAATTAGCCTGGTGGCACAAATTCATGTATGAAAATGTCGTCGTTCATTTTTCATTTTTTTTAAATAATAATAATGATATTTTTATGTAATGTAAATATATAATTTTAAGCGTTATATATATAAATTTATAACACGTGACATGCATGTAAATAATAATGAATATCTATGCTTCCACAATAAATAGTTTTATTAAAGGCATGCATTATAATTCAAAAATTGTTGCCATACTCATGTTATTATGTAAATTTATAAATATACCCAAAAAGATGGCAGGAATATGTTATACTGAATCTTATACCTTGGATCTCAACCAAGTAACTTCATTATAATTCATTAGCTTGGTTACATAAATATTTAACTTAAATCCTTTGTCATATAACACCCAATACACTAAGTGGGATAAAAAATATCTTTGATGTTAACTTATCTACAAAACCATAATGGAGTATCATCTCTTCACTTAAAGGAAAAGAACGAGGATTAGAAGAGGAATTACAGAGCATGTTTTGGATTTAAGACTTGTAGATAACTTTCCCTCTTCGTAGTCGCCAACCACCATCAAACCTTGCCCGTCAGTCACTATCAATCATCGTCGACAGTCTCTGCTTTCCGCCCCTAATCTCTTGCCACTATCGATCTCTGACTGCAAATTTTGTAGCCCAAATACAGATGTAACGTATAACAATTACATTCAAGGCCTGATAATAACTTTCAGCATCTGCAGTTGCCGAACTCTTGTCGGGCTTGCAACCATTGCATTCAAACTCTAACCTACGTGACCAACTAATACTATTATAAGTTCCAACTATGACTTGTGTTGCCAATTGACACTTTTGCAATCACTAGCTGCAACTTATGGGCAACTAAATATATTGCAGACATTAACTGAGGCATATGTGGTCAACTACTACTATTATAGCTTCTAAATACGACCTCTATGATTTACTAATGCTATTGCAATCACTAATTGTAGTTTATGTGGCTAATTGACGATATTGTAGCTACCAACTATGACCTATGTGACAAACTAACAATATTATAGTCACAAACTATGACCTATATGATCAACTTTTATTTTTAGAACTTCCAACTACGACCCTTATGTCCAACTAATGATATTGTGGTCATCAACTACAATTTATATGACTGACTGATGATAGTACAATCACTAACTAAAGCATATGTCATCAACTATTAATATTACAACTTCTAACTACAGTCTTTATAGCCAACTAATGTTATTGTAGTCACCAAATACACCCTATGTGGCCAACTAATGATATTATAGTTAACAATTATGGTATATGTGGACCGCTAACAATATGAGTCTCCAAATACGACATATGTGGCTAATTACTACTGCAACAACTTTCAACTATAACATCTATGATCAACAGATGATATTGCAATCACTAACTACATCCTATATGACTAACTGACAATATTGTAGTCACCAAACATAACCAATGTAGCCAAATGATAATTTTACAGTCACCAACTACGACATATGTTATCAATTTCTACTATTATAACTTCTAAAAATTGTCTATGTGACCAACTGACGATATTATAGTCATCAACTATGGTCTATGTGGTTAACTGATGATATTATAGTCACAATCTACGGCTTATGTGGCCATCTAACGATATTGCAGTAACTAACAACTACTGTTAGCTTTCAGCTATTGCCTATGTAACCAATTGATAATATTACAGTCACCAATTATGACATATGTGGTCAATTGGGGATATTGTAATCATCAACTATGATCAATGTGATCAACTACTATTATTGCAACTTCTAATTACGACCTCTATGGTCATTGCACCGCACCCACCAACTAAGACCTATGTCGCTAACTACTATTGTTTTAAGATAAAATTTTACTTTACAAATTTAGCATCTATTATGAAAATTCATTCTCAAAAAAAAAAAAAGCTTTAGAAATCCCTCCAAGTTTTCTACTAAAATTTAAAATATCCTACGAATACATCTTAATTAATTAATTTAACGTATCCTACAAAAGTGTCGGGTGTAACCATGTAAGTGTTCAATACACGTCAGATACAGATACGGTACATTTTTAGTAATGTCAGCATTACAAATGTTATGATTGTATCTTCTAAGTAGATAGGCTTAACACATTCAAGAGACCTGCTAAACATAAAATTTGACCCCAAATATTGATTTTTTGTATACATTATAGTATATAAATATGAAAATTTATGTGCGAGATATGTGTACATAAGTGGGGATATTGTAATCATCAACTATGATCAATGTGAAAATTTATGTGCGAGATATGTGAATACATAAAAATTGTGTACAATCGATCATTTCATTACAACTCTTATTTAACTTAACTATTATTTATCTTTAATAATAAGCTATACTTGATAGAATTAAGTTAAATCGATCATTTCATTACAACTCTTATTTAACTTAAAAACTATTATTTATCTTTAATAATAAGCTATACATGATAGAATTAAGTTCCAGGTTGAACTAAATTAAGCTAATCAAGCATAAACTTGAACTAGAGATGGCTCGAGTCGGACTCGACTAGACTCATTTACAACTTCAGCCAAGACTGATTTGAGCCAACATAGCCCTAACATCCTTACTACTCGGCCTCTCCTTCGGATCATTCGCCGTACAAAAACACGCCACTCTCAGGGCTAACTCCAGCTTCTCATCGTCTCCCCTTCCGGCGATCTGTTCGTCGAAGCACGCCGCCGTGTTCCCCATCCTCACCTGATTCCTCATCCACTTAACCAATCCGAGCTCCTCTCTCTCCACAAAGAACTCATCCGACGGAAGTTTCCCAATCACCATTACCGCTAGAATCACCCCAAAGCTATAGATATCGCACTTCGAAGTATACTTCATTGTCTGGTAATACTCCGGCGCGATGTACCCCACCGTGCCGGCGATGTTCGACATTGTTATATGCGTGTTGTTTTCCGGAACTTCCTTGGCGAACCCGAAGTCGGATATTATCGCCTCCATGTTCTCGTCGAGCAGGACGTTAGCGGGCTTTAGATCGCGGTGGAAGATATGGGGTTTATGGTGGTGGTGGAGGTGTTCGAGCCCGGCGGCGATTCCCATGGCGATGCGGTGTCTGACGGACCAGCTAAGATCTCGCAGGCCATTTGCGGCGTCGCGGAGGGCGTTGTGTAGGCTGCCGTTTGTCATGTATTCGTAGATGAGGTAATGGCAATCTGGACGGGAGACATGGGCTAAGAGAGGGAGGAGATTGCGATGGCGGATTCGGCCGACGGTTCTGATTTCTGATCGGATTTGTCGCATCCATTTGTCGAGGAGACGGCTTTCTTCTTCGGATAGGGTCTCGGGGCCGTTTTCAACGGCGGCTTTGCGGATTCTTTTAATGGCGATTTTCTTGACGCCGTTGGTGGTGGGGAGTTCTTTGAGGTAGACTTCACCGCTGCCGCCGCGGCCGATGATTTGGAGGTCGGTTAATCCGGTTTCTTTTTCGAGGAAGGAGATGTCCTCTTTGTTTTTTATGATAGGGCTGAAGATTTCAGTGCCGCTCTTACGGCGACGGCCGCGGATGTAGTTGAGGATTAGATGGTAGATCATGGAGACGACGAGACCGCCGAGGATGCCGGAGATGGAGCCTATGAAGAATCCGAGTATCCAGGTCAGGATCTTGTGTTTGTGTCCGCGATGGTGGTCGTTGGCGGGGATGGGAGAGGAGATTGGACTGATTCCAGGGGCCGATGCGATGGAATTATGGTATGGGGAGGGAGCTGGTGCGAGGATGTTTGAGGGAAGGAGGCTGCGGCGGTGGGGAGTAAGAGGGTGGTTTCCGCTGAGATATGGGTTACCGGAGAGGTCGACGGTGAGGAGATTGGGGAACGAGGAGAGGGAATGAGGTATTTCACCGGAGAACAAATTGCGCGCTAGGGATAGGTTTTCGAGTTTGGGGAAATAGACGAGGAATCGAAGGTCGCCATAGAGGCGGTTGGAAGAGAGGTCGAGGGATCGGAGAGAGGAGAGGGATGAGAAATCGAGGGGAATTTCGCCGGAGATGCGGTTGTTGCGGAGGTTGAGGATCTCGAGATTGGTGCAGAGGGAGAGCTCGACGGGGAGGGGTCCGGAGATGCGGTTGTTAGGGAGAGAGAGCTCACGGAGGTCGGAGAGGAGTCCGACGTGGGTGGAGATGGAGCCGGCGAGGCGGAGAGAGGGGAGAGAGATGCGTGTTGCGCGGAAGGATGAGCCCATGAGCTCGCAGGAGATGCCGGAGATGAGGCAGGGATCGGTGGCGGAGGACAAGGCGGCATGGGGGCGGGGAAGACCGGCAGAGAAGAGGAGGTGACGGAGGTTTCCGGCGTCGGAAGCAAGGATGGGGAGAGTGAGGAGAAAGAAGATGAGAGGAAGAACGGCGGCTACGCTGGCGGTCACGGTGGCGCCGACCATCTCAGTTTCTGGATGGAAGGAATGGAATTCAAGAGTATAGAAATACTAGGAGGAATGAGTATAGAAATACTAGGAGGAATGAACTGTGTGGAAACGTGTGTTCAGTGGTGGGACACACATTGAGATGAGATATTATCAGCTAATGAGTGTGGCTTGGGGGAAATTATTGAGCATGTGGCGACACCTCCCATACATGCAGAGGTGGCCCCGATCATGCCAAGGCCGGACGTAATATTTTCTCGTTACAATAACCGCTCGATGATCTTATGTCTGGACGACGGTTTGAATGATCCACCATATGAGGTGTGGTTATACCCAGATATTTGTCGACCAATCTCATGTAATAATTTTCTCGATGAGAGGCTATTGAGGATGATAGTTTTAAACTGAAAGATATATAATATTAAAATATTTTTTAAAAAAAATTATTTTTTTGTCCCTCATAATGCTCTCACTTGGATTAATACCTGTGTGTGCCTTTTTGTCTCGGCAAGCATCCTAAAAATGCATCAATTATTAGCTATGGGAATTGAATAACAATTGCTACATTCAGTACTATTGAAGTTAGGGTTGTAAACACGAGCTCAGGTTTGGCTAGTCTTCGGCTTGTTCGAAATAGCTTGTGTTTGAAATCGGCTCGTGAACAGTGTGTTCGTGTTCGGCTCGATTAAAATATTCGTGTTCATGTTCGGCTCGAAATTGACTCGTTAAACTTAAACTGAGAAACATAGACGTAAAGTGTGGGATTCAAATCTGGATCAAATATATATAAAAAAATGCACTACCACGTTGCCACATGAGATGTTATGATTTAAATTTAGACATAAATATATATAATATAATATTATATAAATAATACGAACATGAACCAACAAGGAGTTGTTCATGTTCGGCTCATTTACTTAACAAACGAGCCGAACACGAGCTACTTAATGAGCCGAACAAGAGTTGTTCGCAAACAACGAGCTTTTTTGACAGCCTTATATGCATAAGTTGTATTTACTTTTTTTAAGTTTAAATGACTGTATTTTCATTAGCTATGAAATATTTCGGGATATAAATATAAATACTAAAATTTAAGTGTTATATATGTAAATAAATAGAAATTCGGTGGTATGTATGTAAATGCCCGCAAACTTGTTTTGTTGTGTGAAAGCAGGGGCCACGCGACGACGCAGTGTGGGAGGTCTTGTGCCGTGTGAAAGCGAGTTTAAGCGTCGCCCAACGCGGGAACGAGGCGACGCAGAAGTGTACTCGAGCGTCAAGGTCTCTGTCACGGTCATCAAGGTTGCACCGCTTGTCAATCTGGCAAGATCTTGACCGTAAAGAAAGAGATCGCTGTAGAAGAAGAGCTTTCTCTGAAGGTTTTTATCTGGTTAGTTCAATCGGTGAGATCAATAGTGGTTGAGTAGTTTTCCATGTGAAATGGTGATTTTGATTCCGAGTTCTTCGAAACTTGATCTTCTCTCCCATCGATCGACTTCAATTTTAGTGTGAATTTGGTTTAGTGGGCTTTAATAGAGTAATGCTTCTTCGGATGATTTAATCTTGAAAACTTGCTGAACCCTAATGGCATTATCAGTGGATTAACAATGTAACATATTTCACTTTAAAAAGTTTGCTATTTACAGTGACACGTGCATCCTTGAAGAAAATAGTGAGATTTTTATTACTAAACTTTGTTGAATAGTCTTTGGCTTATATGACACCATCATGGTTATGTCTATTTATAGGCTTGAGAGACTAAATTTTGAAACTTATAAACTCTTTTCATTTCATTCTAGACAAATATACTTTAGATTCTTTCTAATTATTACTAAACTCTTTTTCTCCATTGTGTCCTATTTAGTGTCATATTTTCATTTAATTCTAATAGATTAATATCATTTTTTATACAATTTGCCCAAATCATCCTAGGTCTACCTCTGTCTTTCTTATCATAAGTCGAATCTAAAACATATACTCTTCGAATCGGATCACCAGATGGTTGACGTTTAATGTGATGTGACCAAACCATCTAACGTTTAATGTGACCAAACCATCTAACATGACTTTCTCTAATTTTGTCCGTCATTGGAGCTACACCAACCCTATTCATTTTATATTCATTTTGCATTTTGTCTCTAAGTGTAAAACCACTTATCCACTTAATCATTCTCATCTCGGCAACACTTAACTTAGTTTTATGCCTCTCTTTTAAAGGCCAATATTTAGTGCTATATAGCATTGCAGGTCTCACCATTCTCTTATAAAATTTTCCTTTCAGTCTAAGTGGTACTTTTCTATCACACAATAGGCTCGAAGCATTCTTCCACTTCAACCAACTAACATCCCCATCAATATCACCATCACATTAAACAATAGACCCGAGAAATAAGTTCACACTTTTTAATAATTTGATCACCCAAAGTTACATTTCTATTATTAGAGCTACTATTACTAAAATTACATTCCATGCATTTAGTTTTAGTTCTACTCAAACTAAGGCCTTTAGACTCCAAAGTAGACCTCCATAATTTAAGTTTTTCTCATTTAATACATATATTCTAAAATATTCTACTTAAAATTAGATAGAACATTCTAGATATTGGAGAAATGAGCATCAATCTCATCACATACATAGCACATAATTCACATGTATAATGTATTTACCTATATCACCTAAACTTTCATATTCATGTACATAGCATTTAAATTTTTTTATCACCTTAAAAATAGCATTATTATTACTTTTAAAAACTCAAATACATATTTTCATGCGTAGGTTTAAGACACCAAAGTGCAATGTATGTAAATATAAAAGGTTAAATATATATCTGACAATCGTTTGATTATTATCCTAGTAGATCTCTTTCAGAGTGTTTGACGAGCGTCTGATTCTACTAAACCACTTTTATCTAGTGGCAAAACTCTCATATTAATTGTCTTCTTATATCGTGCATTTGTGAGATCTATTTGTTTAGTTAATGGAGTGTTGGATAATGTAAATAATGAAATATAAATCAAAATTAAAAAAAGAAAATCGGGAAATCACATTTTGCTTCAATGAGTTGAAGCATAAACTCTATGGCGGATTGAGATGTATGCCTCACAAAAAAAAAAAAAAAAAGAATTGATGAAGTTAGAAATAGTTTTATAATATGACATAAATCATTGATATGCTGATTTAATTTATTATCATAGAGACACGCATCACAAATCTCATTTTAAATGTTGATATAAAGCTAAAATTTGAAATGAGATTCAAGATAAACATTCACTTATAATTAAATGCACTTATTTTCATTATGTTTTTGTTTTATTGACATTCTTTCTATGAATCAACATTAAATTAAATATATATTAAAATTGGTGTTTCTACATCTCAACCACTCAAACCATTGAAGATAACATTTTAAACTTTAAATATAACATTTAATCACTTTGTCATTACAACCATCCTTCTTTACCCACTAGCGAAGACTTTTGAGTGAAAGTTTTGGGTGATTAGAAGGCTATATTTAAAGTTTTGGGTTTATATTCAATATTTTGGGTGATTGTTATGTAAAAATTTATTTTAAAAATGGACTCATGGAAGAAGATAACATAGTTGAATTTACTTCCTTTAATTCAAAACAGGAAAACATAGCATCAAAAGATCAAACCAAAGCAGACAAAACACCATTAAACACCATTAACTCACCTCACACTGCAACAACATCATCTTCTAATGACCAACTTCTCCTATAAAATCACACCAAAGCCTCAAACCACAATTCTTCATTCCCCAAAAACCCAAAAAGGAAGAAAAAACAGAGTGCATCACAGTTGTCAGTATCAGTCCTTACAGCAACGATACAGCACATATTTCTCCATGGGACGCTTACACTCCACACAAATAATCCTCTCCTGAACTCCACCCGTCTCACCGGGAAGAATCAGGCGCGTGCAGTGCTCGTGTGTCTGATACGGAAGCAGCGCCTTTGTGAGCGCCGACACAAACCCCTCTTCCTCCACACTCTCCTTCCAGCTCTCAAACTCCATTAAACACTCGTAGAGCTTCTTTCCATGGGACTTCACCATGCCAAAGGAGCCATGGCTGATTATTGCCCATCCTTCATCACCTCCGCCAAAGCTGAGCAGCTGCATAACCTCCTGCATGATTTGGTCTTGCTCAACATTTCCTCCATGCTGCATTTTTGAATGCCACATGCTCTCGAGCCGTGCCCAGAAGAACCAGACCATCGCTGGATCCTCCCAATGGCCGCTCAGCTCCTCCCTTTTGATGACTTCTGTCGCCTTCTTCACCCCCTTCTGGCTGCTCTTCCCCACATACACCATTTCAAGCGGAACTCCAGCATCATGCGCCACTTTTCTTATTAACTTGGTGAATTTCCTTATCCAATCTATGTCTTCTCCTCCATAGAGACAGATATGCTTCCCTTCCCCTATCCATGAAAGAATAGTTTGATCAATCTCATCGATTAGGAACTCAACTCTCCAGCTTTCTTCCTTCCATAACGCCTCTTCTCTACTGCTAGTAAAAGGAAAGGCTAAACTTCCCCATATCCAAATCATGTGAAGAGCATTAGGGCAAACTACCCTTCCCTGAGCATCCAAGACAACCAAAATTGGTTTTTTATCGAAATGCCAGATCTCTCTCATGTATTTAATGGCAGCAGGCTGAAGCAGTGAGGGATGGTGGAGTATATACCACGTCATATTGAATGCTAACCTTTTGAAGTCTTCTTCTCTGTTCTCGCTCCATGGATGGTATCTATCGGTAACCGGCAACCAGAGGACCTCGTAATTCCTTTCAGTCCTTCCATGGTGGATGTCCTGATATATCTGGATGAGAATGAAGAGCTCTTCATTGCTAACTTCGAGGTCGCTTATGAAAAGCATGACTATCTTCCTTCTTAGAACATCGACTCCAACCCTCTTCTTCGTCAGGCAATCAAAGAGGGGGAGTTCGTCTTTGGAATAGATCAGAGCCCTTAGGATCTTCATGTTGTCAATGTGGATGGTTTCAAAGAGCCTAATTAGGGTTTGATAGGCTTCATGATGCCTCTTTCCATCTGCATGATCCAGTTGCTTTTGATAAAATCTAGCACACAATTCTAATACATTTACATATCTCACACTTAAACTTTCATATTTACACATGTAGTGATTTACATATTTCACACTTAAACTTTCATATTTACACATGTAGTGCTCAAATCTTTAATGTCATATCAAAAATAGTATTATTATCACTTTTTACGAGTGAGATACACATTTTCATGCATAGGTGTAAAACATCAAAATGTTATGTATGTAAATATGAAAGCTTAGGTGTGAGGTATATAATTACATAAGAATTGTGTGCTGGGTATGTAAATTTTCCAAATTCGATTGAAAGAATGAATTTTTTGATCGACTAACCAATGTATTTGTTGCAGAGTTCAAGTTGCTTGGAGAGGTGGTCATGGATGTTAGCTAGTTTGTGAGCTATGGTGGAGAGCTCCCATACCTCTGTTGTTGAGCTGATGTATCTGAAGGAAAGGAAGATAGCAAATGGGGTATGTTCTTAAAATGCGGATGAAAAATTCGTTCTTGTTTGATTGGCACTTTTCTTTTCAAGATCGTATATTTAACGAGTTGAATACAAACAAAGTTTTGTTCGATCGAGTTCGGCTTGATAATAGCTTGCTTATGTTTATAAATTTGCATTAAAATACAGGAGCATGTACATACATACTTTAAAATTCTCATGTATTTATTTGTCTAACATGAACATTCATATTTACATGTATACCACTCAAATCTTTAACATCACATAAAAAATACTACCGTTATTACATTTTTAATAGTGATAACGGGGCATTTACATACATGCCATACAATTCTCATGTATTTATCTATCTAACACATAAACATTCATATTTACATGCATGCCACTCAAATTTTTAACATTACATCAAAAATACCACATTATCACCTTATTAAATGTGATATATATATTTTCATGCATAGGTTTATGACGCTAAGATGTTATAAGTACTTTTGGTGTAAGATATGTAAATAATTTATTGTTATGTATGTATGTAAATTTCCTTAAAATATACATATACATACATACGTAGATATACTTTTGTGTTTGTGTACATATGTATATATTCAATTGGATAAGTTTTACGTGGATAAGGCTGCCAAAAAAAGCTCATTGTTTATATTTGATCACGCTAAACTCGCTAATTGAGATTGATTTATTTTCTTATGATCTTATATTTAACGAGCTGAATATGAACAAGATCTTACTCAATCATGTTTGACTACATACTAGTTTTATTATGTTTACGTGCATTATAATATATGTATATATGCATGCTAGAGGATATACTTATGTGTAAATAACCATGGCCACATGTAGATTTGATAACTTACTTATGTGTAAATAACCATGGCCACATATAGATTTGATAACTTATATAAGTCTTTGAAGCAAACTTAATATTCTTGAATAGCTCGTGTTCAGCTCGATAAATTAACAAGTCGAGCCGAACCACATGTGAGCTTGCTTAAGCTCAACCAGTTTACACCACTACATAGGAGTGTAACTGAGTTAAGCAAACTCGTGCGCCTACTCAGGCTCAGCTCGATAAGTGGCTTGTGAGCTTAGCTCGATGAGCTAACAAGCCAAGCTCAAGCGACCCTTGACTCATGCTCGACTCTTTTACACTGCTACCACTACATGTGGATGTTTGAGCTTACTCGTGACCGATTCCGATGAGCCCAACGGTCTGCGAAATACAAGCAACGATGCCTCTAACGACCCAATACACCGCAGTTGGGATATGAGTCATGGCTGTTATCATATCTGGTGAGTCTAAGCTGATGTAATCCGTCGGTAACTCGGTGAACTCAACAATGGATTTCGTGATATCAAGCATGACCCTGATGAGGTTGTTAATGGCATCAAATCGTGCCTTGAGAACATCGGTGTGCTCGATGATGTCCGGAATCTGTTTCAGGAGAGCTACAGATTTGGCGAGTGGGTTCACTGAGTGGAGCTGAGTGGTGAGCCAGAACTCGCCGTAGTTGACTGCCATGGCTGCCAGAGCCATCACTGCTTTGGCATCCCAGGTGTAGGTTGATAGAGTGTGGAAGACAGCCATGGTGGTTGAATGGGCATCTACAGCTCCTGAGCATTTGAAAGTGACCTGATTCAGGATGAATAATGTTAGGCAAATACATAAAAGTTTGGGTGTTAAGAAAGTAATTGATAGCGATATTTTCTATTTGATATTAAAGATTAGAGTGTTATGTATGTAAATATTAAAGTATGGGGGTTAGATATGCAAATACATGAAAAGTATATGTTGTGTAAGTAAATGAATAACCTCATAGGATATCCTGTGAACCGTGTAAGCAATGGCTTCCAGCGTTAAAATGAGTCCAGCATGTTGTGCGGCCTCTTGAGCTGGTTCTAGTAGATTTTTGGGGGTGGCTGCTGTCTGTACAGAAGACTAATTTTAAAAATGGGAAATTTATATACTCATCACACTATTCTTATGTATTTACATATCTAACACCTAAAGTTTCATATTTATATGAAACTTTACGTGCTACATATGTAAATACATAAAATTTGGGTGGTATATATGTAAATACCACTTCGAATAAATGGATAGAATCAATATATTTTCATGTTTACAGAGCAATTACATACAAACCACCCGACTTGTATTGATTTACATATCTAACATATAAACTTTACTTTTTATATTTTACCACCCAAAATTTTCATATCCCATAAAAAAATATTAAGATTAGTGATATTTTTAATGTGCTGTAAAATATAATTAGTATTATGCATATAAATATGAAAGATCAAGTGTTTGATCTGTAAATACATAAGTGTCGGGCGGTATGTATGTAAATTCCCAGTTAATTGGATGGTGTTGATATAAAAAGGTAAATTTTACATGTTAGACATGTAAATACATTAATCTTCCTATATTTAAAAGAAAAAATTCAATCAAACATGCCAGAACGAATGCCGGATTGGCTCTCAGCAAGACTTGCTCCACCACATAGAGAACAGCCCGCACATCAAAATCTCTCCCCTCCGGCGAATGAGTCTGCTGAATTTGCTTCATTATAATGCTGTCATCAGAAGAAGAAAAGAGATGGCGTCCTCCCTTTATAGCATGGAGCTTTTGGGCCGCACTTGCGGCTGCTGATGGCGTCATCGCCGCCATCTTCCTCAATTCCGGCGAGGTCTGCCGGCGGTGATGGAGGAGGGAGGTCGGTTGGCCGGCGAATATATAGGAAGTGGAAGGAGGAAACAATGGGAATATATGAAGAGGAAAGTGGGGAAGGAACTGTCTTTGCTTGAGGGATGAGGGATGAGGGATGCTGTTAAGGACTAGCTTTGCTTTGGGATTGCTTGGTAATGGTGGTCATGGGTCTTTAGAAACTTTGAAGTGATAGGAGGTTGTTTAAGTGAGTAGTGAGAAAATGAGGGGTGTGAATGATAAGATTAGTGTGGTTGTTGGCTTGAACAAATTGGTCTCTTAATTATTAAGCTATTAGGAGGGAGGGTCTAGGGTTGATTTAGACTGAGGGGGTGGCTAGTCTAGGGTTGGGCTAGTCTTGGTCAAGCGAATTAGGTGGGATGGGTTTATATTAGTGGAGGCGTGTATTATTTGGTCAAAATCGAAAATAGAATAGAAATTAATAGATTTAGTTTTCAAAAATTCATTTCGATTTTTGGTTTTGAAAACCTTAAAAATTTTACATTTTTGGTTATTAGTTAGGTTTTAATTTGTATTTAATCAAATAAATTAAAATATAAAAGTAAGGCATCTATCATTAATATCCTCTTATAAAGCCTGAGAGCATCCCATGCAGTGATCTTCGTGAATTTTGGTTGATGCTTGGGTTCCATAAGCCTTACTTTTGTTTTATTATGCATCAATCACTAATTAGGGTTAATTAGCTCACTAGGCTTCTGGGGTTAACAGGTGGCCCACTAGCCTTCTATGGGTTTCTATAATCTAGTAATTAGGGTTAATTAGCTCACTAAGCCTAATTAAGTTCACTTAATATCTATCTTAATTTAGCCATCAAAATGGCTAAGTTCAAAGGTTTTAGGGATTTATAAAGATATCTAGGGTTAGCTAGGCCATCTAGAGATCAATTACATGAGCTAGTTTGATTTGGGTTTAGGCCAATTAAGCTAAAGCTTAACTAATGGGTTGAGTGGGTTAACCATAATTCAACCTAGGTTTAAGCTAGGTTTAGATCATGTAAAGGCTCAATCCATTCATGAGCGTCGTAATAGAGCCTCTAAGGTTAAATCAAGGTTAGTCCAAGCTGTAATAACCTTGAAAAAATATTACATCAATAATATGCATGTGGAGTAACGTGTAGTCAATGAAATCACGCCACGATACCCTGCGTGACAGAGAAAAAAAACGGCGCAGTAACACGGAGAACTGGGGAACATCTCCCCCCCCCCCCCACGTGTTATTACGTGTTATTGTGTTTTATTCATGTGTTATTATGTCATGAGAGTATTCTTGGTGTTATAATAACACAATAATACATCAATAACACATGAATAACACAGAGGAGAATATTTCCCTCGTGTTACTGCGCCGCTTTTTTCTCTGTCGAGAATATTCCCCATGTTTTTCAGGTGTTATTATGTGTTATTCATGTGTTATTGTGTCCTGAAAATATTATTGGTGTTATAATAACACAATAACACATAAATAACACATGAATAACACACAATAACACAGAAATAACACATGGGGGAATATTACCCCGTGTTACTGCGTCGTTTTTTTTTTCCTGTCGCACAGGGTGTCGTGGAGTGATTTCATTGACTACGCAAATTACTTCTACGTGCGTAGTACTTATGTAATATTTTTCAATAACCTTGGGTCTCAAAAATCATGGAAACAAACCAAACGAGAATTATTATTTAAAAAAGATAAAATATTCCATTTAATATATATATAATCATAAAAAATATAGTCACTTGTTAAATTATTTTACTATTCCAACGCCTTGAATCAAAATCAACTTCTCTATTTCATGATAAATGAATTAACTCAAAACTCATGAAATTAAACTTAAAATTGAGCTTGAACTCAATTAATTAATCAAGTAATCACTAAAATTTAAGTTAACATCAGCAAAATTTCAGGGACATTTACACACATACTACCTTATTCCCATGTATTTGCATATCTAACACTAAGCTTTACTTTTTACACCGAAATCTTCCGTATCAAATCAAAAATATCATCATTTTAACTTTAAAAAAGTGAAATACAGGCTTTATTGTACCGATAAGGCAGCATGCATGTAAAAAATGCATTAGATGCGTAAATACATAAGAATTGGATGGTATATATGTAAATACTCCAAAATTTTAATCTGCAATCTATTTAAAAAGCTAAAATTTTATAATCATGTTTCTAAAATCAAAATCAAACAACATCTAACCAAAACCAACATTGTTTAGACAAAATCAAAACTTCAAAAGACATGCAAAATACTTCATAAATTGGCAAAAAATAAAAAACAAAACTTTAAATGCAATCAAAATCCTATTCTTGAAGGAACAAAGCAAATGTATGAAAAAAGAAAATGGTTAATACAACAACATAAGCTACAAAACTAAATGAGCCACAGCACAATGCTCAAATGGCGTCCATCCAACTAACCCGACTTAACGAAAAATATGCTCGGTTCGACTCGATTAAAACGAACCCCTTCGAGGTCTCTCCTCAGCAACGTTCACTCTGATTGCGCGACCATCCACAGTCTGATTCGACACGAAAGCAAATATTAGCAAGTTACCAAACAAATTGAAGTGAATATTAGCAAGCTACCAAACAAATAAGCAGCATTTATATAATACATACATTCAGGCCAATTCTTGTGTATGTACATATCTAACACGTAAATTTTAAGTTTTTACATTTATACCACCCAAATCAGACTGTGATATGAAAGATTTGGGTGATGATAGTATAAAATAGCAAAGTTTAGGTGTTAGATATGTAAATACATAGGAAATGAGTGGTAATATGTAAATGCCCCATTAAACTAGAGATAATAGCAAGCTACCAAACAAATAAGCAGCATTTATATACATTCAGGCCAATTCTTGTGTAGATACATATCTAACACGTAAATTTTAATTTTTTACATTTATACCACCCAAATCAGACTGATATGAAAGATTTTTTGTGTGATATGAAAGATTTGGGTGATGTTAATATAAAAAAGCAAAGTTTAGGTGTTAGATATGTAAATACATAGGAATTGAGTGGTAATATATAAATGCCCCATTGAGCTAGAGATACCATGACTCACCTGTCCATCAAGAGCCTCAATTGCATCTTCGTGATCGCTCCTCGAAGCCATTGTGACAAAACCAAAACCTCGTGAACGGCCGGTCTCTCGGTCGTAAACAACCCGAGCATTTACAACTTTGCCGTGATTACTAAATACTTCCTCGAGCCGAGCATCGTCGACCTGCCACGGTAGGTTTCCAACATATATCCTCACAGAAGAAGGCTCGAACTCTCGAGATGGCGATCTTTCGGGGACGGAGCCTCTAGGAGTCGCTTTGTTAACAGACAAAAGCCTTCCGTTGTAATCCTGAAAACAACGCACCGACGACTAGCTTTCAACATAAACTATTCCGAGAAGATTTTACATACATTACATAATTTTTGTATGTTTACATAAATAACATCCAAAGTTCAATTTTTTGGATTTATAACATTTTATCTATGCATGAAAATATAAAAAATTAGTAATAGCAGTATTTTGGAAGTGGTATGAAGATCTTATAAACGTAAGAAATCAAAGTTCAGGTGTTAGATATGTAAATACAAAATAATTGAGTGGTGTGTATGTAAATTTCATCAATATACACAGTTCATTGTCTCCTAAACCATCTTCATAACAGGAAATGGAAATCCAGACAAATTAACTCAATAAATTCTAAAAGAAAATGGAAGAAATTAGTATGAAATTTACAAACAAGCCACACAATTCTTTTGTATCTACATATGTACCACCCAAAATTTGATATTTACACTTTCCTTAATTGGAGATACAAGTGTTCCATCCTTCCTTTTATGTTATTTCTTTTTTTTTTGTCTTTACTATTCTAGGATTCATGTTAGGTATTTATATCCCCTTTTCATATATATATATATATATATATATACATGTGTGCGCGCGCGCGCATGTGTAGAAACACACTAAACAAGCATGCTTCTAAAAACAAACAGAAAACAAAAACAATAAGCAATATACAAAATTAATTCCAAACAAGCCATGAGATTGAAGTTCTACAATTCAAGTCGGTTTGTCCTTCACTGTAGGGTTGCCAAATATTCTCGTTGTTCGCGAACAGGTCGTGTTCGGCTCGTTCGAGGCTCGTCGCTAAGTTAACGAGCCGAATACGAACAACACTAACAAATATTTATTCATTCGTGTTCAACTTGTTTTGGGTCGAAATACTGCTAATCAATTATATATATATATATATCTTTGATAAGTAGTATTTTTAAAAAAAATAATTGACTACAAGGCTACAAAGATTTATAATCAATTAAAAGTATTAATGAAGAAAATAGAATAAAAATTATTAATTTAGATTCAAATGATGTTTTAAATCTTGCCTCAATCATTAACATAAACGAGCCGAACACAAACACACATTTTGAGCTCGAAATATAAACGAGCCGAACTTAGCTCGTGTTCGACTCGTTTACACCCCTATTTGTCATAATGAGACATTATGCAAGTAGAATCATCTAAATCCAAAAAAATTACCATAAAATTTAGAATAATGCGGCAAAACATAAGTTTATGGTTGATTGATTTGATCAAAAACTATATCAAAGTATGTTGCTTGGTCATAATTTACCATGCAGCATAAGTAATTAAATTTTAAAAAACAGTATTTATTTCTAGGGACATTTCAAACATACCACCCAATTCAACGTATTTACATGTCTAACCCTTAAAGTTCAATTTTTACATTCCTAACACCTTAACTATGCCTGAAAAGTTGTATTTCACCTTTTAAAAGTTAAAACGTTGGTATTTTTTACGTGATATGAAAGATTTGAATG